AGGACGATCCGTCAGCTGGAACCGGATTGATGACAGAAACAGTTTTTCATCGGGAGTTCTGGGAGAATTAAAGCTCTCAGGAAAACCAGGGAGCCAACAAAACGCTGACCCAGAGGTTTTAGGTTCATGACTCAGCAATTTTTCCCTCCACTGGATTTGGGGGGGAAAAGATCCTGACCAAGTAATTTCAACAATTTAATGTTACAAATCCAGAATTTAAGCTATTTCGTCCCGTTTCTCCTGCCTCTGAATGGATCCGTGTTGCTCCATGAAGCGGCTGAACGCTCCGTGTCTGTGGAACCGCGTCTCGCTGTCTGATTGTGATTGGACCGCAGACTGCTCTCCTCTGGACGTCATGGCAACAGATGGCGGTTTGATTACCGAGGGGATGTTCCAATTTACGGCCCCGCATCATGTTTCAATTAAAGAGAGCTTTGGAGGCGGCGCCGTAACCAGACGAGCTCTGACCTGAGGAGGCGTCGATCAGAGGAGTTTGTTGGCTTTTGACGCGACTTGGAGCTTCTCTGAGAAAATGGAGGGAAATGTTGGCAGGTTTCAAACATGAAACCAGCAGAGGGACGGGTGATGATAAAATTAGATTTTAAAGTTAAGAGATGCTGGTGTTACCTTTGGGATTTAGAGAGAGTGTCTAAACTTTTCAGATGTTGCCTCATGTGTTGCTCAGCAGCAGGAAAGGTGACAGAGTTCTGCCTCGGTCAGAAATGAGCCACGTTAAGACGGGAAACCCGGAGTTGAACCTGAAGTTGCCTCACTGAGTCTCTGCTCTGGATTGTAGAGCAGCAGGATAATCACTGTAAGTTTGGAGTCTTGGTGTCGGGTCGTTGGCAGGTTGTGATAAGATCTTTGATCTTGTGCTTGAGGTGAACGTTGAAACAATCTGCAGTTATTCTCCTTAAAGGAGGCGATAAAACCGACAAAGGAGGAGGATAATGTGGCAGCCGTGTCGCAATTGTGTGTTTGGCTGTGATAGAAGCAACTTTCAGTTTTAAGCAGTAGAAATGTCTAAAAGCCTGTTGTGTTTCACACTTTGGTTGCTAAAATCTCAGCTTTACTTTCACTGCTTCTGTTTGCATTGCTGTGATGGACAAACAGAAGAAAACATTGAGTTTCTCCACATCCTTACAGAAAGAAGATCCTGGGATCAAATCCCGCTCTGCAGTCTTTCTGCAAGCTGTTCACATGTTCTTCCTGTACATGTTCTTCCTGTACATGTTCTTCCTGTGCATGTTCTTCCTGTACATGTTCTTCCTGTACATGTTCTTCCTGTACATGTTCGGACTGTGGCTGCTGCCACCTGGATACCTTTAGCTCATCCAGACACCAGCAGTCGGTTAAACGTAGTGAAGGTTTGATCTGATGCTGAATGAGCTGAGACCAGAGGAGGTGCTCTAACAGTCACCTGGGGATAAAATGAGTAAAGAAGCAGCAGAGGTTGAACTCTGGATGACCACGGCGTCCTCACGCTGACTTTTCATCTCACTTCATGAAGGAGACGCGGAGCGTTGGCACTTGTAATGAGGTTTCTCAGTCTGGAGATACTGGGCTGTGAAATGTCGCACGTTTATTTCCATTCCTCCCATCACACATGAACACAACCAGCACTAATTGCTTTGTATTAACATCCAGACGTCCAGGAGGTAATTGAATTTAAAGCGGCTCTTCTTCGCCTGCGTCCTGCGCGACCCGACTTATTAGAGCCTTAAACATCATCACCTTTCTAAGCTGTTGACTCAACCAGGAAGCAGCTTTGCTGTCTCTGCTCTACGGGGACGATGAGTAACCCGGAGTTTCACCTGCAACCTTCCACCAACCGTCACAGCGCTCTTTATTACAGCACATTAAAAAACCATATGGGACATAATTGAGTCTAATAACCGTCAGTGTGGCAGTGAACTCAGGGGGGCAGCAGGTTCAGAGCCTGCTTACCTTGTGCATGTCGTTAATCAGCCTCTGCCCGGCTGCACTGGGTGAGCCGGCGGAGATCTGATGAAAACAGAGGCAACTCTGACGGCAGCAGGGCTGATGAGTGAAGGCGGAGACACCGGGGACATTTACAGAGCATCACGGACCGACGCAGCGCAGAGAGTGATGACGAACTGGAAAACCGGAGCAGGAAACTCCAGGGAAGATTCATGGAGGTAGAGAAGGAGGACATGAGTTGGTTCAGTGGCTGAGTAGGAAGAGGATGGAGAGAGAAGATGGCATGTGATCTGCTAAAAAGAATAATAATGTATGGTTTTATGGTCTTTCTCCTGCATAAGACCATCATAGAAGCCATGAGGAGAGGAAACAAACTCGGAACATCCAAGTTTCCGAGTTGGAAACTTGGATTTCCAAAATGTTACACATTTTTTGTAACAATGTGTGAGCAGTTACTGCTCTTGAATCCAATTCTAGTTTGTTTAGTCCGGTTGGTTTGTGGAGGTGTGAATGCACAACTGGACCAGAGGAGTGAACTCTGGAACAGACCGAATGCATATGTGAACACCATGCGGACCAGAGACCGCTCCAGAAGCAGGAAGTGGACTACAGCGCAGGGCATTCTGGGTAAATGGTTCATGGTTCTACCAAAGGCAAAAGAAAAATCCTCCAGCCGTTAAATTCTGACGCCTCCATTTTGTTTCCATCTGGTGAAGAAGGATGTTGCGCTCAGTGTCTTCAGGGTTTCTGTGTCGTTTCCCTCAGTGTGTCTGGGTGCAGCGCCCCCCACAGGCCGGGAGCTTCTCCATGTTGTGACGGCCTTTCTGCAGGACAGTGGGTCTAAAGATTGAAACATGATTTCTTTTATTATTTATTTGCTGCCAGCCTGCGGCGGTCCTCAGTGACGGGGCTTTGAAGAGCGGCGGCTTTGATGGAAGTGATGATTTTCAGATCTGTCCTTCCTCTCACATCACCAGAGCGGAGTCCAGACGGCGAGGCGCTCTGACGAAGAGGCAGAAGAAAGGACCACTAACGCAGCGACATGTTGACGTGTTTGAATCTGATGAAGATCAGTGGGATGGATTTAATTTATTCTATAAATATTGATGCTCCTGGTTGCTGTGGACTCACCAGTTAGATGATGATCAGATCTTCATCATCAGACCTTTACATCCTCCTCATCTTCTGGAATCTGACAGTCTGAGTCAATGTTGTCTAATTTATCAACTTTTTGTTGCCGTCCTGTTTCCAGCCTCCTTGGGAACATGAAACGTTCCCAGAGGTGTGAGATGAAGAGACGTTAAATCGTTTCTGCTGCCAGACGTTCCCACTAAACCCTTAATGCTGCATCTGCAAGCAGACGCCTGAAAAAACCGCAGCGATGTCTCTGATTCTCCCAACTCACACAAAGGTTTTAGATTCATCTGAGTTTTGTGCTGTAGAACTCATGACCTGCCGCTCATTACAATACTGAATGATTTAACACCACTGATAACTGGATTCAGTGAAATATTCAGTAATAATAGTGAGTCGGAGCATTTAGTTCAGGACTGATTCCAGACTCCTGAAGCCTGTCCGGTTTCTGGTGAGGAGAAAATGTTTCTCTTTGCAGGAACCACAACAAGCTGGAGGTCTGAAGATCCAGCCTGTTAAAGTGTCAGGAGTCTCAGCGTCTGTCTCTGGTGAGTTTTATTCCTCAGACTGGTGGATTTTACCGCCTCGCTCACTGATCTGACCAGGAAGTGGAGCGCGTAAAAGAGCAGATAAAGTTCTGAGTGGCCTGTTTGGGAAACCCGGCCAGCTGAACGAGCGTTCAGATGTTTAGTACCCAGAGGTCCAGAACCGGCCCGGCCTCCAGCCCACTCAGGCGCCGGCAGGCGGCAAATGGACTGAGCAGCAGGTGGTCTTTATGCTGCTCAAGGCTGCGACTGTAAAAACATTAATGACTCTCTGGTGAAACGACTGCCGGTAAAAACGCTTCTGTCCTTTTCCAGACATTTTGCTGCAGATCTGCTGCTGTGTTTGGGATCATGGTTCTGTTGATGACCCGGCTGCAGCTTTTGGACTCAGAGATCTATCATGGCGTCATATGAACAAACCACAGTATATTCTAGCACTTCTCCATGAAATTTGAATTTTAAGCTAAGAGACTCTGGGCTGTTTTTATTTCTAGATAACTGATGGCTGAGTTTGTCAGAAAAACATTTTTATAAGGAGCAGTAACGTTTATTTTCACAGAACTGAGAAACTAACCAAAAGTGTTTTTAAATAAAATAAAATGTAAATTTTTCATCTTATTCCCCTGCTGGTTTTAGCCCTTCCCAGGTTGATGGGAACTCAGGCGCCGTTTCTTTAAGGTCATTGCTGATTAACTTCCAACACACACACACACACACACACACACACACACACACACACACACACCTGTTTGCTCCAAGCAGCCACCTGACCGACCTGCTGCTGTTTGATCCGGTGGTTTTGTCGTTTTCTCTGTTTCAGTCGCTGAAACTTTCTCTCTTCATTTGATGTTTTCTGAATGAAATGAACAAACTGCAGGCTGTTGGCTTCATTTACTCTGCAGTAGATCTGGATGTTTACCTATAAATCAGCAGTTTGTTGTTTTTCTGTCTGTTTTCTGTTAACTGAGTGAATTTAGTCTGTTCAGCCACACATTCAGTTTTGTCGGTTTTTCCTGCCAGCCTGAAGGAGACGATGTGAGAACTGGAACGATTTCTGTTTCTGTCGCTGCAACAAGCAGCTTTCCTTGTTTCTGGTTGTTGAGGTGTGACCAGCTGGTCGCTGTAACACATCAGGGTTAAACTAAAGTGTCAGACTTTAAGCAGCAGATCAGCTGTGGTTACGGCTGAACCAACTGGGGTTAAGGTGTGAATTTCTGCTGCGGCTGCCTCCGAACTGTGAAACCCTGCAGGCCCACTTTGTCTGATTAAAGTGATGTAACGGAAAGATGCTGCGTGTCGGCTCTCATCAGACGCTCTGGCTGCGGGTCCGGAGGTTTTGTGCCTCAGTGTTTTTAACTCATTTTGTGTTTTTGTCTGCAGGTGGAGCGAGAGATCGCCATCCTGAAACTCATCGAGCATCCTCACGTCCTGAAGCTGCACGACGTCTACGAAAACAAGAAATACCTGTAAGCTCCTTTTTAAAGGTTCAGCTGAGGTCGGATCTTCTGGCTGGAAAAATAAAATCAAAAGGTTTGAATTTGTAATTGGGGCAAAACAGTCAAAATGAGCTGATTGGACATGAGGGGGACGACACAGAGACTCGACGCTTCGCCGATGAGCAGCACAGCAGGGGGCCGGAGCCCCAGAGGGAAACGGCTCCTGACAGGGAGAACAGGCAGAGACTGATTATCACCTGAGTTCATTTAACTATTAAAAAATGAATAAGTAAAATATAATTTGTTTCCTATTAAAATCAGTAAAATAATTAAAAATGAATAAAAAGGAAAAAATTATAACTTTTAAAAAATCATTTTAAGAGTTGGTATATAAAATCGCAGCTCCAGATAAATCATTTTAATCACCAGGCAGCTTCCAGGCACGGTGGTGGCAGCATCATGCTGTGGGCCTGGCATTTTCCACCTGCTTCTTATTTGTTAGAACGATTGCTGCTAACAAAGAGATAATCGCTGAGAATATTTCATGCCTCTAAGTGATGAAAGAGTCTGGAAGTAAAGTTCAAAGGTCAAAGCTTGCTGCTGAATGTTAAGCAATGAAGTAATTGTGCAGCTAATGTCTGTTTCTTTAATAGAGACAAGAGGATCAGGTTGTTGTCTTGTTTCCTCATTAAGCCTGAATTGTTTCTCCATCAGTCCAGCCTGCAGCAGCTGCAGCTTTTCCTTCCTTTATTGTCTGCATCAATCTGCTGCTTGTTGCTCCAGCGGCGACGCTCAGTAACTGATAAAGCCGCCACCGTCAGATGGAGCCGGAATTTGTTTTCCTAATGTTGTGCGGACGGCGACGGACGGTCATCATGGATGGAAACAGGAAGTCCCGCGCTCACAAATCACAGCCGGCCGTGTTTCTAATTTAAACGGCTCTGACGGGGAAACGCTCCAGCAGATCCCTTAATCTGCTAATAAATCAGGCAGAGAGGACGGCGAAGCCGCGCCGCGATCAGGGATGTTCCTGAGATAAATCAGGCCTGGAGATGGATGAAACATTTTACAGCACAAACAGATTTACTTCATACATCAGCGTAGGTTAGAGCCGAACGCGCTGCAGTTTACGACTGGATTATATGATTTATGCCTCCTTCAGCCGGACGGAAGATGAAACAAAGGATTTCTGTAAAATCTGGGCTGACAGGAAACCATCTGGAGATGAATTATGAACCCAAAAATCTGTCGTCTTCTGCTCGGAAAATGCTGAAACTGATTGAATTTCTTTAAAGTTCAGATCCAGAAACATAAAACACAAACCAGATTCTCCTGCTGTCAATCTGAAGCAACTTGTAATAAAGTTGCTTCAGATTGTTGCACAGAAAAAGTTTAAAAGGATCAAATAAAAACGGCGAAAGAGAAAAAAAACCCGAAGAATTAAAACAGTTAAATAATCTTTTATTTATAAACGTTAATATTTCTGCCTCAGTGATTCAACCATGTGAAAATCAGCTGCAACGGTCTAGTCAAAGTCCTTTTATAAAATGGGGGATAAAATCAAAAACTTTGTGACAGATCTTAATTATTGTAGTATTTCCTGATAAATGACCTGCAGATCTGACGGTGTGATGACCTCTGACCTCTGCAGGTACCTGGTGCTGGAACACGTGTCAGGAGGGGAGCTGTTCGACTACCTGGTGAAGAAAGGCCGGCTGACGCCCAAAGAGGCCCGGAAGTTCTTCAGACAGATCATCTCAGCGCTGGACTTCTGCCACAGCCACTCCATCTGGTCCGTACGCACAGCGCGGTCCTGACCCGGTCCGATCCGCGGTTCTGATCCGGTCCGATTCACGGTTCTGACCCGGTCCGATCAGCGTTTCTGACCCGGTCCGATCCGCGGTTCTGACCCGGTCCGATCAGCGGTTCTGACCCGGTGCGATCCGCGGTTCTGACCCGGTCCGATCCGTGGTTCTGACCCGGTCCGATCAGCGGTTCTGACCCGGTCCGATCCGTGGTTCTGACCCGGTCTGATCTGCGGTTCTGATCCGGTCCGATCCGCGGTTCTGACCCGGTTCGATCCAGTCTGCTGGGTTCAGAACCAGCCTGAGGTTCTGATCCGGTCTGATCTGCGGTTCTGACCCGGTCTGATCCAGTCTGCTGGGTTCAGAACCAGTCGGAGGTCCTGACCCGGTCTGATCCGCGGTTCTGACCCGGTCCGATCCGCGGCTCTGACCCGGTCCGATCCCCGGTTCTGACCCGGTCCGATCCGCGGTTCTGACCCGGTCTGATCCAGTCTGCTGGGTTCAGAACCAGCCGGAGGTCCTGACCCGGTCCGGACCAGAAGAACTCGACTCGTCTTCGGTGGATGAAAACTTCGGGTTCA